ACGGGGTAAGTTTCTAGAGAAACTGTGGTGCTGCGGCGGGTGGGGTATCACAAAGATAACTTTTATCAAAAGCGTTGATAATGCAAAGTGGCCACCATAGAGAGTTTCTAAAGCTGACGTTCCTAGCCTTAGCCTTTCGTCAGAGCGAATAGAGGAATTGTGGGTGGTGTGTAGTTTACATGCAGAAAGATGGAGCTGCGCTTTTGGTAAGAACATAGGAACATTTTCACGTTTTAAATTGAACTTACTTCGGTTGCGCAGAAGACGTGAAGAATTCGGTGGATTGCTCTAAATCAGAGAGAGTAGGTGATATGTTTTCGGGAAATGGTTGAGTGGCTTTACCACTTTGTATTGCAATTGCCGTCTTCTTTCAAGTGTAAATGCCGATCAATATTAACTTACTGTTGAAAATGTTGAGTGAAACATTCTTTTCTCAAAATGCAGTCCTTCTGCCAGTGACATCTCGTAGCCTAATAAATAAAAGAGGAAAAAAAGGATTTCAGACGCCTAAACAAAAAGACATTTGGGAAATTCAACGGTCTAAGGAACTCTCACAATAGTCTCGCAATAGAACAGTCAAATAGAAAAGATAATTGTTTTGAGATTAACTACTAAACCAACAAGAAACGACTAGCGATGGACAAGATTAACGCCGATTGCAGTAGACATAAAATCCTTCGAATAATCGAATTATAACTCATAGCAAGAAGCAGCCAGTGGGACGGTTACAACTGCCAAGGCGATACCTGTGTTGACAGCTTCTTTGGCGATCTGTGCAGCGGTCTTCGACAAGGATGATATTTTAGCAGCTGTCTGGATAGCTTCATTTACGAGCTCTTCTGCGGGGAAGACTTCACTAACCAGGCCTAATAAAAAATAGGAAAACTGTCTAATTCTGTGATTTGAATTTGAATCTGGGTAAAGAAACATCTCAAGAATGAGTGTGCACCAGTTTTATCACAGGAGGGGATGCCCCAAGTTCATAGTTTAGTCCTTTAACCTAGCTGAACAATTTGAAGTAACGCGGCCTCAACTACG